CATACCCATTCATTTATCCGTTGCCTATGGCTGTTTTCCTGCTACAATGGCAGAGTTGCATTGTCCACAAAGTGTAATATATTTACTATCTTATCTTTTACAATAAAAAGTTTGTTGGCCCCTGATATAGGCCATCAGGATTGCTGAAAAAAATTTACAAGTAGATGCACAAGGCAATAATTGCATTCTGCCAGACAAGAAATATTTGCATTACAATTTACAAAGGTATAAAATAACTCAAAGATGATCAAAGGCACAGATAATTCAGAAAATATTCTAGGCCTGGGCTATTGGGCCCATTACATGAACAGAAACTCATAGGGATCCAGGGAGAAATCTTGTTTTACAAACTAGGGTTAAGGTGGGGAAGAAGCTGGGATTCAAAGACTAACAGAACAAGGAGAGTGTCATAATGCAAATCCCCAATGATTGGAAAATGGAATGAAGGAGGCTGAGGCTGGCCACTTGAGTGCTTCCTATTTCAAGCTTCAGTTGCTCTGGAAACTGGGACAGGACTGAGTCCTTGGGGTAGATCAGCAGGCCTAACTATGGGGAAGCTGGAGCAGGTGGAAGCTGATCCCATCCACTCTCTTGGTTTCAACTATTATAGGCTAAGAACTCTCACATCTACATTTTCAGTCCTGACCTTTCCTTTGAGATTGATGCTAGAGTTATACAATTTGCTGCAACTGTCCCAATATGTATGTGAAACTCAACATGTCCAAAATTGAACCTTTTAAAAAATCCTAACCATGCTTTTCCTCCTGTATTCACTATCTAAATTGGTGACACCATAATCAACCAGACATGCAATCCAGAAACCTGACCTCCTTGATTTCCATCTCCCTCCAGTACAATCTGATACATCCAATGAATGTTTAAATCTGTTCTTTCCTGTATATCTCTAGAATCACAGTTTAACATCTCACCATCTCTTCACCTAGACTAGTGTATATTTTAAGTAGTTTTATCTTTCTGAAACTCATCCAATGTTGTGCTGGAGCTGGCTTACACCAGCTGGTGAGAACTGGTTGTGTCCATCTCTTCCCAACTCTGTGTTTTATGATGTCATATTGATAACTTGAAATTGGCCACAGTGGGAATATTTACACCATAGAAACTGGCAAACACTATAAATCAAGATTTTTTTGTGTGGAAAGCTGCTTATTAAAGATTAGCAACACACTTACCACTGCCAATTCACCACACTTTGGCCAAACTAATCTTTGTAAAATTCTTATTCCACTATGCACCTTTCCTGATTAAAACTCTTCAGTGATTTCCTATGGCCAAAAATAACATTAAGTTCCTTAACATGGCAAACAAAGCTTGTTATCATCTGGCTCCTGCTTAAATGTCCAGCTCCCTCTCCCATTCCTTTATTAGTCTCAGAACTTATATGCTATCTCAATGATCACAAACTGGTTCACTCAAGCCTAAATTCCTTCATACATGTATTTTGTTTGGCTTGCACATTGTCTCTAACCTTATTGAGCCAACATTTATATCTTTAAAAAATTCTGTCCCCAAATCCATATTTCTGATTTCTCTTTAAAAATTGCAACACTGGGCCCTCATTTGTGCTTATAGCAACAAGAAGCTGAGCAGCAGATGGCCCTCTTGAGAAGGTACGTGCTCTAAAGTTCACCAGTCCCTACCATTTACTCATCAAAATTGTGCATGTGCATCCAAACCTAGTCTTCATTTTTGTATCTATTAACTGTTTGGCCCTTGATGTCAATCATATCATAAAGTTCCTGATTATTAACAGAAACCTTTGACCCTCACTATAGAATCTCTCTTTCTTTACCATGATGTTCTTGTGATAGTCCATGGTCTCTGCACAGTTTAGGAAGGCGAAAGCAGCAAGATGAAGAGAGGAGGAAGAAGAGAGTAGAAGAGGAGTAGAAATCTATAGACTTTGGGTCAGAGTCTCCATTTTGAAGCAATAGAATAGTGAAAATGACAGGCAGGGACTGTCCTAAGTTTTTGTGATGTCAGGATATTCCTTATAGAACCTGTCTGCTTGTTAACCCTCATTAGAGTATTGGAATGTCTACCTTCTTAGCTGGACATGGGAGGGAAAGACCCAAGGAAATTAGCTCACATTGACTCAAATTGTAGGAGCCAGGTTTGTAAATGAGAGTCAATTTCTTAATTTGAGATTTGGAAACTTAATTTCCTTTTGCTGAGTGCCTCCTGAGTGTCTAGTAGTGTGCTGGAAACCATGGGAAAAACAAGAGCAGACTAAGACAGCTCTGCCTTCAAAGAGCTCACAACCTTATTGAAGGGGCAAAATAAGATATATGTGAAATAATCAGAGAACAACATATGGCAGTACCAGAAAGGTGAGATCTTGGATGTAACCTAGTGCCCACAACACCTGAGTGGTCAGTAAGCAGTGAGATCAAGTAAAGAAACTAGCTATTGAAGGAGCCATGGCTTACAGTTGCCCTTAGCTGGCAGAAAAATGAGGCAGACTGTTTCACACAGGGATCCCATAAGGACATACACACAGAGAGCAATGAATGATCTAGGTGCAGCAACCTGTGAATGATAAGGCTGACTGAAGGAGAAAGGGCAGTCTGGGTAGGAGGATATGGTTGGTCACTGCACACCAGTTTTCTTTTGAATAGTTTTCATCTCTGCTGTCACATACCCAGAAAGCTAAATGAAGAATCAGAGGCTCCTTGTTGAGTACCAAGTCAAAGACAACGGAATCAGATGGTTCTGAAAACCATTTCATATTCTAGGCATAGACAGCAACCTTTTAGCTTTATCACACACACAGGGCTAAGCAATATTCACAAGTACCATTGTGTATCTTGGACAGGCTAGGCAGCACTGATACAGAAGGAAAGAAGAAAATAAAAGAGTAGGAAAAACAGAAAGAGCAAGGAAGTGGAGAGAAAGGACAGGAAGAGCACCATGGTAGGGAGAAGACACATACATTCAGTCTAACCCAGGGAATTCTGTGCTACTAACTTTTTTTTTTTCCATCTCCTGCCTCCAGATTTTGACAGAGATTGAGGAATGCCCGTGCCCACTGAGAATTGGCAGATTCTTAGATTTGAGCTCCTTTCTTCCTGGGCGAACTGTGACACATTTTTCCCTTACCATCTCTCCCAACTCTAGGCTTTGTGCTAGTTGTGGTATTTATATTTATTACCAGGCCCACTCAGACCTACTTCTTCCTTAGCCTGTAGGCATATGTTAATTTCTGAAATTATTCTGTCCTGTGTCCAATTTACTTTACGAGCCAGTTGCTCACTTCCTGCTGTCTTGTTTGTTGCTGCTCCCTCTAAATGTTTAACAATGTTTATTTGCTGCTTTATCCAAGCAATTGATGACCAATATGCAGCCAGCTCTCAACTATTCAGAGGCTGATGCAACCATTTCCTGAAGGAAACAGATTTCTTGCACATTCCTCCCCCTCTTTCTCTTCCACCTTTTTCCTATTCCCTATTTTCTGAACACTTTCCTGTTTGGGAATCTTTCATCCAAGGTAGGAAGGAGGCAAAGATGATGAAAAACTGTAACTCATCCTTTTGTCAGTTCTCCAGCAATTGTGGGTTTCTAAAAAAAAATTAAGAGTAAAAAGAAACTATCCATTAAAATAATATTTGTCTATTCTGTGAGAATATCAGTTTTCCATATTCTCCCCCATTTAAAATAAGTATTTGAAATTGTTTTTTTTAAAGTGTATAAAGATCAATATTTCATTACTTCCTGGAATCCTATATATGCTTTGAATACTCAGCCCCACCCCTCCATGAGGCCTTTTCTGAATATTCTGGTCCTCCTTATTCTCTAGTTCTAGATTCTACCATACTGAGACTCTTTTTTGGGTCTAGTGAGCTGCCTAAGTTTCACTGTTCGAGTGTGAACAAACTGGGTTCCAAAAGATACATTTAAAGTTCAAATATTTTTTCTTCATTGATCAGGTTCTGCATTCACCCAGAGATGCTCCTGAATACCCGAAGAACTCCATACCTTTTACCTATACCTGCTATTTACACCAAGCATCACATCATGGACATAGCAGTTTTATCAAAGTTCCTTTTCCTACTGGTAATCCCTCTCCTAAGCCTAGAGATCCTCCCTTACAGACTACTTCTGCCTGACAATAAAGGATGCAATCTACCTTGTTTTGACCTACAGGAAGTTGGAGGAACATTGTATCGCCTTAGTCTTTGGTGCCCTGATGTTCTATATATATACAAAGCCAGTGCAACCATTTGAGGGTATTTTCTCTTTAGCTTGATTTAGTGGCATGGTCTTTAAGATTACTAGTTGCCTTTAGCTTTTCAAACGAATAACCAAAGAACATATATGCATATATGCATAGCCCATGAACACAGACAATAGTGTGGTGAAGACCTGGGGTGGGGCGAGGGCTAGGTGGGGAGGGGCAAAGGAAGGGAAGATGGGGGACATCTGTAATACTGTCAACAATAAAAACATATATCTGCAATCTCTGCTGCTCCTTTGAAACTGAACACAAACTATTATGTACTCCTACTTACCAAATTTGTGTAAGTCTGATCTATCAAACTAAGCTCCAGAAGGTCAAGAAAAATGTCCTTTACTTTTCTGCATCTCCCATTGTGCCTTTGACAGAATTGGGCATATTGTGATTGCATAATTTTAAGAGAGATGGTCTAGTGTCATGTTGCCTGAATTTGAATCTTGGCTCTGAAACTAAAAGCTGTGTAATCTTAGGTATGTTTTTAACCTCTGTGTGTGTGTTTATTCATTTGAGGAGAATATTTGCCTCAAAAGGTTGTTGTGGAGATTAAATTAGTAAATACACATAAAGCACTTAGAAAAGTGCCTGGCATACAATAAGCATTTCACAAATAGCCACTATGGTAAGGAGGAGAATTGACAAAGGAATGGTGACTCCAATTCCCAATTCACTAACATTGATGGGCCCTGTGCTCCCTTTTTCTCCAATCCTTAATCCTGCCCTCTTATGCTTTTTGTTTTATTTTACCTAGGTTCCTACTTTGATGATGGACACCCAGTTCTCCGAGTTCACACCAGACATCACTCCCATCATGCTGGCTGCCCACACCAACAACTATGAAATCATCAAACTGCTTGTCCAAAAACGGGTCACTATTCCACGGCCTCACCAGATCCGCTGCAACTGTGTGGAGTGTGTGTCCAGTTCAGAGGTAGACAGCCTGCGTCACTCCCGCTCCCGTCTGAACATCTATAAGGCTCTGGCAAGTCCCTCACTCATTGCCTTATCAAGCGAGGACCCTATCCTAACTGCTTTCCGCCTGGGCTGGGAGCTCAAGGAGCTCAGCAAGGTAGAGAATGAGTTCAAGGCTGAGTATGAGGAGCTCTCCCAACAGTGCAAGCGCTTTGCGAAAGACCTGCTGGACCAAGCTCGGAGCTCCCGGGAACTGGAAATCATTCTCAACCATCGAGATGACCATAGTGAAGACCTTGACCCTCAGAAGTGCCATGACCTGGCCAAGCTGAAGGTAGCAATCAAATACCACCAGAAAGAGGTAAGCTGAGTCCTTCTCTGCTTTCAGGGAAGCTTAAGCCCTCTGAGTCCAGAGTAGTGGAGCAGAGTCGGCATTTTTCTACCTCTTAGCCCTTTAAGAAACAAATGGTTAAACAGGCCTCAAAAACAGATCCACTTATCCAAGGTGCATACAGCCTCTGCATATTTTCTTTATGGCCAGATAAGTAAGGAAAAATACCGATCACCTGGCTCTTTGATAGGAAAGCACTTATTAATTCAACAAATGCTTATTTAGCATTCTTCTAGCTGTTTAGGATACAAAAACTAGATACCCTGTCTTCATGGAGCTTACAAGCTCATGGTAGACATGGGGCACAGTAATTATGGATGGCTCACTGTCTGGATGTTGGTAATTGTTGACAGAACTACGTCCTTGGAAGCCCCTCAACAAGAAGGCCGAGGCATGCATTTGAAAGATGGCCTCCTAACTTTTGGGGTTTACCACTTTGAGGTAGGTCAGTTCAAGCAGAACACAGAATGAAAGGCTTTGTTTTCCACCTTGGTCACATTTACAATCTGGCCAGTGATGTTCTATACCATTAAATCAAACAATTTGGGAGAGACTCCTAGCAACCCCAGAAGCCTAATTTAACTCTTTAAGGAGGCAGTATGGTACAGTAGAAAGCGCAGGAACTTTAGAGCGAAAACAACACGATGCAATTCCAACCCATTAGCTCTATGACCTGAAGAAAGTCACTCAAAATTTTCAGGACATTAGTGTTTTCATTTATAAAATGAAGATGACAGTAATTCCTCCACTTCATAGGGTTATTAAAGGAAATAAATGAGAAAATACTAGTGTGGCACAGGAAGTACATTAATGTCCATTTTCATCTTTCTTCCAACGCTACCAGGAGGCAGATTCAAATAGGTTGAATCAAGAGGTGCTTACCATCTGAAGGGCAACTGGCAGGGCCACCCCTTCGTGGGTCCACCGAACCCTGAGGCAAATCATATTGTGTACTCACCTGGTCTCTTTATCTGAAACAAACAAACAAACAAAATACCATGCCTTTGAAATGAGGCAAAAATGAGTACCAGGGACAACCTTGAAGGGGATTTAAAATGACAAAAGAACAACATGAATATTGAAAGACTGTATTCAGGGAGATAGCAGATGGATAGGCCCACCCAAGTTTCCTTATCCTGTTTTTGCCACTAATCACTTTAAGTTATTTCACTTAGCCTGAAGTTACTCTACCTCACTTTTCTCTTCCAAAAAATGGGGATAATAACAGGAACACTTACCCCCCTGGAAAAATATAAAGTTTAAATTAAATAAAACATAATATACTTATGCAGAATATTCAGCCTACATTAGGCATTCAATAAATATTAGCTGCTATTATTATTCATTTTTATGGTATATGGTCTGATTCTGTGTACTAAAATTGTAGGTAATAGATACAGTAATGACCCATCCTCTCCCTTACTTCCTCCTCCCTCCCACAGCCTTACTGTTGATATATAGTAGTAATTGTGTTAAGTAGTCTGCTAGAAGGTCTAATTGACTTTTCTTCACTTTGATTTATGTGTATATTTCTAATAATGATGTATATTATACTTTCAGTGTGTTTTTTACTTTACATAAATTGTTCTAATACTGTGAGAAAAAGATTACAGGTATTTTTAGAAAATGAACTGTTTCCAGGTAACAAAATGGTTAATGAGCAAACAACTGTAAAAAATAGATATTAGAGAATATAACTCCAGTTTGCAGTCCTTACCTCACTAGATGGCAGATATACTTCATAATTTTAGGCCCTCATCCCCCTGAAAATTGACAGAACACTTAATTTTAAACAATTTCACTGCAATATTTCATCAATTTTGTATTAATGGATTATCTCCCAACTACTTTACCACTTGACTCCTGCTCACATAATCTTCATTTGCCAATTTTAGTTCCTTCTCCATTTGTAAACCATTGTGATGAGTTCTTTACTCTCATGGGGATCTGCTTGGCATATGACCATGGACTTACTGTTGGGTTCTACATTCACTGCCCTCCAACCCTCATTTTTCCCCTCATGTTTTAGTCCTTTACTTTCCTGAAACTTTGTTCCCTATGTCTCTTATTTCATAACTTATCTGATTATTGTTATTACATAATGTCTCTATGTTACTATATGTTCATACAAGTCTCAGCTGTCATTATACCAACCTGGATGTAAGAAGGAACTATATTTCTTTTTGCTCACTTAATTAAGCACCAGAGATTCCAAAACTGTTTTGGGGGTCCATTTGTTATGTACATTCAAGTGGAGGAAAAGGTTATTTGTTTTATTGTGGTAAAATATACATAACATAAAATTTTTATTTTAACCATTTTTAAGTTTACAGTTCAATGGCATTAAGTACTTTCACGTTGTTGGGCAACCATCACCACCAGGAGTCATTTTTTGAAGATGCACAAGTTTTGGGGTGTCCACTTTTCTTTCAATTGTGAGCTCATGCAATTAAAGTTTCATATTTTACAGACAACATTATTTTTAATCAATAACACAGGCAAAGTAGCACCTTTTAACTATTCCAAATTATGGATATTCAGCAGTAATGTAAAAGCAATCCAAAAAGCACTGTTTATGCAAAATCAACAATTTTAGGCCTGGTGATATTCTCTCATCATTGTGAATCAAATCAATGAGAACTCTGGAATTTAATAGACTGAACAGTTTCAGTCAGAGCACATCAAACTCCAACTCCAGGATTGCAGCAAATACAGCAAGGATAGTGAGTGACCCTCAACTCCAATGTCAATAATTTCATGGAAAAGAATATACTTTCCTGTAAACCCCCAAAGGGCCCAAAATTTAATTACATGGCCTGAGACTTCAGAACTATTTCAGGCTTTATATACTTAGCTCCAAATTTTCCAAGATAAATTACCTTAACAATGACTACAGATCAATTTTAGTTTAGTTTCTCTTCAAACTAAGCCACACTGATTAGCAGGGCAAGCTTGAAAATTTAGATATACCTTAAGGTTTGCACTTCAAATACACTTCTTCCAGACTGCAAAACATGATTTATATTCATCAAAATCTATATAAATCTCTTCTGAATCGTGACTTCATTTCCACTAAAGAACTCTGCAATCCTTCCCAATCTCTGAAATAGTTTTTTTAAATCTATGGTTCCACTGAGTCTCAAATGGGTGCACACTTAACTCTTAAACAAGAGGTTAGGGGCATTGACCCCCCCAAACACACACAGTTTAAAATCCACCTATAACTTTTGATTCCCCAAAAACTTAACTACTAATATCTTACTATTGACCAGAAGCCTTCCTGATAATATAAATGTCAATCAACACATATTTCATATGTTATATGTATTATATACTGTATTCCTACAATACATAGCTAAAGAAAAGAAACTATTAAGAAAATCATAAAGAAGAGAAAGTATGTTTAAAGTATTATACGTTTTTTTCTTAAATCCATGTATAACTGGACCTGGACAGTTCAAACCTGTTGTTCAAGAATCAGCTGCAGTCTCTAATTGTTCTCTAATCCACGTCTAGTTTAATACTGAATACTCTCACCTTGAACAAATCAGCAATGTTGTTATTTTGGGGTGTTTTTGTAGTTTCACATTTAGTGTATTTGGATAAAAAACACAATCCTTTGAGCTACTGGTCTTCTAATAATTTAGGTGTTTGTCAGCACTTCATTCTCAGAAGTCCTTGAACTGAGGAAGTAGTCTAAGCCTGTTCAATAAATATCCACAATCTAGTATTTTAAAAAGTGAAACATATAGCCCTGTCCCAGTGGCTCATTTGGTTGGAGCATCATCCCATACACCAAAGGGTTGTGGGTTCAATTCTTGGTCAGGGCACATACCTAGGTTGCGGGTTCTATCCCCAGTTGGGGCGAATACGAGAGGCAACTGATCAATTGTTCTCTCACACCAATGTTTCTTTCTCTCTCTCTCCCTTCCTCTCTTTCTAAAAATCAATAAAAACATATCCTCAGGTGAAAATTTAAAAAAAAAAGGGAAACATACAAATAGTGCTTAAGGCCACAAGCATAAAAAGTGTTGTGATCTTGATAATTTATTTTATATTATGCAATACACTTGAGCACCAATTTTCACAGAACAAACTCTCTTTATGTAGGATGTTATAGAACTAGACAAACTAATCTTTACATAGGACACAAATAAATGAATGAAAACTAATCTATCCTTAGATTATATAGAGAGCAAATGAACTCAGCTTTTCTGTTAGATAAAATTCCTTAAATTCCTTGGAGGCATATAGTTTATGGGTGCTTACTCATCAAGAAGAAAAATAACTAACATCTTAAGTGAATCATACTCCAGGGTTTGGTGGAACACATTTTGTTTGAAAGTTGCATGTTAGGAGCCCCTAAAAAAGTTGGAGACATCTTTTGAAAGGTAAGTTTTTCCAGATGAGCTTCAGGCCCTAAAGAAAGCTGGACAAGAATTCTCTTCCAGTACCAGAATTATTCAAAGGAGAAACAAACTGTAGATGGGAATGGGACAATTGAGCTAAAAGAGAAAATTTGTCTTTGTTTTCACACCTGATTCCATGCCTAATTCCAGTTGGACCATGAGGTTATATCTTCAAGGATAGATAGGTTACTTTCTCAGTATCTATACTCAGAAAAGGAAAGAGCAGATGCACCATTTCTCCATTCTCTAGTGTCATCCCTGCTGACACCATGTTCAATCTTCTTTTAAAGCATTCTGTGATTCCAACCAGGCAGAAATACTCGTACAAAAAGAAACTTTTTCAACAGGTAGAGGTATTGTAGGAGTGGAGCACCAGAGACTCCTGCACCAGGGAAAAGTACCCAAAGATTAGCCCACCCACATCAAAAAGTTTCAAACAGACAACATGCCTCTATGTCTCTTAAACCTTGAGCTAAAAAGCTGTGTTCTACAAAAGCAAACAAACAAAAAACAGACAATATTTTTCTCTATAAAATGAGCTACAACACAACCTATTTTCCA